TTGATATACCTCGATATAGGAAACGTTGGCAGAAGCATCTCCATATTAGATGGAGATTGGTTATTAACTCACCAAAGACAATCACATCCACGGCCAAAACCTCTTCTCCTTGTTTGCTAGTAGCAACACACTCATATCTCCCACCATCCTTCCTGCTTCGAATATGAAGCAACAAGGAATCATTTGCCTGCGGAGTCAGTTGCTTGTCTTCCTTTAGCCACACAACCTTGAAGGGAATGTCACCGTCTGGTACACAGTTAAGAAGAACAGCGTCCCCAGTAACAAGAGTCAAGTTTGTGTATTCCTGATCGATGACTACTGAGCGTGGAACTAAAGAAGAGTTTGAAGAAGTAGGTTAGCATGACATGGCAGTGACAAACACAGTTTTCGGACTAGCTTTTTTCTAGCCTGCGTCACAGACGTTAACAACACACTGCAGGTTATTTACGGGGAAATTTCCGTCTGCAAATACAATTGTAATTATGGTATTGGGGTTGCTTAGTATCAGGCTTTATGCCAGAATTTGAAAAGTGGCCGTCCAAAATGTGCTATTAAGGACCTACTCAAATGAGCAATTTATAAGGCACATATGAAAAATAAAAAAAAATCCTGCTCAGTACCAAAACAATGTTGTGACTGCATGGTGATATTGTCTCAAAACAATGACTTCTCAGTTAACGTTAGGATGGTCAGCCTTATGGTAAAACTGTAAAACTTCACGATTCAGTTACATACACGTACCATTGGTTAGTTTTTTTAATTTTTTTTTTACACGTGTACAGTGGGTAGCAAAGTGATTTACAATCTGGTTGTATATTCTGTCTGTAATTTCGTAACAATGTTTTTTCCAGAACTTGTAAGTACAGTAGAGTTTTTTTTAGCTTGTTCCAGGTTCTCTGTAGTTGAGGACGAGCGAAAAAAAAAGAAAAAAAAGAAAAAGAGGGCGAGAAAAAACGCGGGACACTACTGACTTCCTCCGTCGTTTTTTCTCGCCCTCTTTCCTTCGCTCGTTTCCAACTACCGAGGGCCTGGAACAGGCTAAGTTTTTTTATATATTTTTAGGTGAACATTTTGCAGAGTTTGTTTTTTCAACACTTATTTTAAGTGGCCAAGTATCAACACATAGCCACAAGACTTCCTACCTTTGACAACGATTGTAGTTATAGCAGTGGCTGTCCCTCCAGCATTACTGGCAAAACACGAGTATGGACCTTGATCCTTGTTGGTGACTGAAGGGATGATGTGAGTGACATTAGCTGTTCCTATACGTGTCACGACAGGTCCAAGAGTTCTCCTGTCCATGATCCACTGTACCTTTGCTGGTGCCACTGTCTGCACTGTGCACCAAAGTGCTACCCTGGAGCCAGAGAGGACCTCAACAGTAGCTGGAGCAGTGACTGTGGGGGATTCTAAAAGAAAGGAATTGGGTGGTACCAATTACGAGGGGCAAAGTCAACACAGGTGAAATGTGTGTTATCGAACCAGTGTGAGGTCCATATTGGAGACTGAAATAGTTTTACTGGTCCAATTCTTTGCTTTTTTGCAGGTTTATGGGCCAAGCCACAGAATGAGACCAATACCTCTTCAATATGGACTGAACAAGCTAGTTCAGTACAGTACTTATAATTATGACAGCCTTTTTTCAATCTGCTGATATATTGATATGTCTCTGTGAGCCATTCTCTAACAAACCTGGCAACAATGCACTAAGAGCAGTTTGACTCATCCTGTAGAAAACATTGTACTCATCATCTACACCAACTAGGCGCACATAAAATAGTCCTGTGGGTGGTTCAAAATTGAGCCAGTCAAATGCAAACTTGTCGGTGATGCGAGGTCTAAATGGTACTTCTCCAATCAAATGACCCTGTAAGTCCAGAAGCTGTACTCTTTCAGGTGCACTAGGAGGTTGAAGGCCGTGTACTTTAATCAGGACAAAGTTTCTAAAACCTTCCAGGTGGATAATAACAAAAAAATACAATATTAGTTATTTATACTGTCTTGGTTTTGCAACCATATCATTCTTACTATAATTTCAATGTAATCTGAAAAGCCTGTTTCTGGGCATCACCTGTCATTAATACTCTATGTCAAGATTGTCGCATATTTATGAGCCTTTTTCTTCCAAACAGTTTCCAGTTATGTAACTGTTTACAATATAATTTATTTACCATAAAATTATTAATAATGATTTGTAATTATTTTTTTCCCACTTTTCCCACGTGACCCTTATTAGCTTTCATCATTCCATTCTCAGTCCCGCATGCACTGATAAGGTTCACAACAAAAAGATACTGGGGTAGCAACTTCTACTTACTAACCAGCAACTGGTCTTGGCATAGCCTCATCCTGGTTCTTGACTGGATGCAACCCAAAGCCACTTGTGAAAGACACAGGACTAAAACCAGTGACTCTTAGGGTGTGACTCCCATTACTGCTCATCATCAATCTCCATACACCTGGGGTAGGTTTCTGCACAGAGACTATTTTTGCTCCCTTTAGATTCAATAGCTTCTCAAGTCCTTGTTCCTCTGTGAAGAGACTCCCTAACAGAAAGAAAATAAAATGGTTGAATATCACCAAAGTTATCACCTTCCTCTAAACTGGGAGTCAACCATCACCTATGGACCATATGTGTGCAACATAACAGGAGAAGACAGCCGCACTAGCTGTACAGTCTGTAGGGATTGTTAGATTGGACTACAAGTATGAGATTGAATGATTACAAGAAAGATTTTCAAGCGATGTTTCCAGAGTCCCCGCTCTGATCTGATCTGATCTTTAGATGGGTGTGTTTACAACACGAAATGACGAAATGGCACTACAAGTAAGAGTCAATGTGGGATACCGGTGTCTGTAAGCCGGGTAACCCATGGTATTATTGTTATATTGAGAGCTAACCACTTTTGAGTCAGCAATTTTTAGGCTAACCTGAGCACTATTTAGGCTAACCATATTCAGTTTGTCATTTTGCCATTTCATGTTTTAAACATGCCCCCCTTAGGCCCTATAGATAACAAGTCCAGCAATCAAACCACTAGGCCATGCTGTGGTACCAAATTCTATGAACCATGATGAATTTAAAGATATGGTAAGCTCAGTACAGAGGCTTTGATTTTAATTAATATTCCACACTTGTAATGACTGAAAGGTGCATATCCTGAATTTCAAGTGATCCAAAGCATTGATGCTTGTATTAATCAGTAATGTACATGTAGCTATACAGTATACTGAGTTCTGAAATAGGAATTAACAGGAAATCATCATTTACCATTGGGATGATAAAGCTCCAGGACCAAATTATCTCCACTTAGAGAGATGGATAATTCCTCTAAAGCATTGTCCACTGGAATATTTACGTAAGTCTTGTTTGTAGCATCTTCGCTGTCCACTGAAATGAGGTTCACCCTGTTAGCTTGCACTGACAGCTCCACAAATTTCAAAACCTGGTTAACATCTTTCTTCTTCAAGTAAAACACCTGGCCGGAACTGGCAGCAGAGATCAGTTCATAAGCTGTTGAACTTGTCAAGATAGTCTGATTGCCACAGTCTCCTGTTATGAGGAATAACACTTGGCTTTTCTTTTGCTGGATCAACTTTAGAACCTGACAAGAGGATAAAAATAATGAATAATTAATAATCTTAAGTTCTCTGCAACTGAGAGAAAACTAGACAAGTGCAAGTGGTGTGCTAGAATGGCGGCTAATTTGAGCATTTTTAAAAAATCATTAAAAAAATTCATGTTTACTTCAAATCTAAAAAAAAAATTTGGGTAACTTCCTTTTTTGATGTGGACTTTTAACTGAGAGCAACATTATGATATGAGCACTAAAAGGAAACTTGAGCAAGAACAGCTCAGTAAGAGGTTCTTCTCCTAAGTCAAATTTCAAATGATAATAAAAACAAGACTACTCACAAAATGAATTCACATTCTATAAAGCATCACCTTTTGAACTTGATCAAAGTCCTTTGCATTTGCATCTGTGAAGACATATATAAAAGAACCAGGCAAGCTTATCTCCAGTGCTAGGATGATTGCATTCAAAGACATTTCTGGACAGTCTCCTCCACCCTGAACAGACAGGTTGTCTAGCTGTTCCTGAAACTTCTCAGGGCTTGTCGTCACTATTGCAGGACCCACATCTGTTGATATAAAGGCTGCAAGTTGAATGCCAGTGAATATACTCTCAGACCTTTTATGGCAACTTGATAAAACAGCCTACTAACAGATACATGCATCTATTAGTTAGAAGAGTTAATTATTTTAAGCAGTATAATAGTCCTGGAAAAAACCCCACGTGCACAGATTATTGGATGAAATAAAAAACTAGATAGCCTGTGAACATGGTTTCTAATGAGTTATGGGGTGAAGAAAAAACAAGCAGGCCGAGCTAGCCAAGAATGGTCTGTGGGGGATAAATTAAATGGCATTAAGCTTGGTTAGCTTGGTTTGCTTGGCTCGCCTAATTTCTTTGCATTGACTGGGAGCCTGTTCACCTGTAGGCTAGTAGAAACAGAGTAAAATGTAGGGTTTGAGTTAGTTACCATCTTCAGTGAGCAATTTATGCACACATGCACGGCACCAAAGTGAAAATATCCTAAAGTATTTGAGCTTTGAATACACAATTATTGTGACACCATAGAATCCTGGAGTATTCAAGGCTCATACTACACATAATTCACACCTGGAGTATCCAAGAGTATTCAAGAATGCAAATTTATGTGAAGTATTTAAGTCGAATGTAGGCACTTAGAATCCTACGGTATTCTGGCAAGGCACATGCAAAATGTGATGAAAACATCTGGAGAGTTCAAGAGTGTTCAAGGAAGTAGACATGACCTATTCAAGTTGAATTTGGAAAACTTAGGACATTCCAGATTTGTTTTGACTCAGGAATGCTTGGTTTGCATAAGAATATGTTGGTATACACATTGTACGCCGATCCATATTTGGGCCTGAAAATCGGGCTTTCTGTGCAGTGATGTCGCAGTCTCATCATATATCAAATATACACTGAAGTCCTTATTCCTCGACCTGGTTCCAACGGCCAAAACTTTATCTCCCCCTAATGCCATGAGAATAGCCCAGGGCTGAGGTGAAGTTGGGCTGTTCAGATTAGTGAGTCTCCTTCTCAATCAGCTGATTTAGAAGCTCTCGTCCGACAGTCAACCAAGTACACCAATGAAAACTCAAGCCTTGACACCCCCACCCATTCCCACTTCTATCAATCAATAATTGCAAAGTAGCTAGTGACAACTTGACAATCCCCACTTGTATTGACCTGCATTGTCACATCATTTCTCAAAACAGTTCCTCTCCAAAATTTCTTATTTACAATCGCTTGTGATGCGCAAAACGTTAAAAGCAACTGAGAGACAAAGGTGATGCACAAATTTTGTTAAAATTTATGCATGAAATGGGATCACAACAGCCCGCAGTTGCAACCCTCCCACAATCCCACAAAAATGTATTAGCTATCCAAATTAAAGATGTAATTATATTGCAAATATGACATGATCTGCTATTGTCAAGAGTTCACTTAAGTATCGGGATACAACACTCTTTCAGTACTGACCATTTGCCAAGAACAACAGATTTAATTCCTATATCTATTTATATCCAGGTAAGATATCTCCAAGAAAAAAAAAAACGTTTGTAAGATCAACCATAATAATATTAAGTGGTTTCTTTATTTTGGTATTGACAATAGTGTTGCCATAGTGCATCATTAATTGATTGTATGCTTATTTGAAGTTGAATGCCAGAGCAATGAGAGCTGTAAGTTTAAAACCGCACGCTTCCGGGAGGATCAGTTTATGTTGTCCAAAGCTGTCTCTAGTTATCAAGCTGTTGCATTCAATCAACTCGCGCGTGACAAGTAAAACGTACAACATATGTACACGGTGCTCCAGTTCGTCACCTTTCGCGGCATCTTTAACTACCTTGCACTGTTTTTACGCCATTAATCTTCTTTTTATCGACAGTGACGGTAACAGAATACAAACATGGATTAAGGTAAACAAAGTTGACTATTCCATAAACAATGTGGTATCGGAAATATCGTAAACATGTGCCACAAAGATTGTTCGAACAAACGAGCTAATTTGTTTAACAGAAATACCGTTTCGGCAAGAATCGTTTATAATTTCGGATCTTTTGAAGAACACTCGATTAAATTGCGCCGGTAAGCCTTTGTTAACCTATTAGCAACGTAAACAATTGAGTAAGTTACACTAATAAATACCTACAAACACTATTCAAGTAGGAAGAACGAAACTTCCGATCATTCCACGATATGACAAATCTCTGAACAACTAATTGCACCGAAAATAGCTAAGATTTCTCTAAACAACTCACCTGGGTCGTGGAAAGGGATCAACACATAGTTATACAAAGGCTTCGTTTTCCTTTCCAACGTTGTAGCTAGAATTTTCGCTGCTCCAGCGCGCACTTGAATCAGGTCATCATACATGCTCCCTGTTGTGTCGAACACAAACACGAGAGACGCAGCGCCTTCGGGAATTCCATTCGATTTCTGCGCGTTTGAAAATCCCCACGTTGGAGTAAAAACAAAGCAAAGAAGCCAGGCAAGAGCCGCATGAAGAGTCTTTAGACGAGCTTTCATGATGCCTTGAATTTAACGGCGAGAAGATTGTCGCTGAAACAAAAGGATCTGTGCAAAATCCGTGTCGATCAGAAGGTTTCGAAAGCGCCGCGAACGTAGAGTTTGCCTTCCAGACTTCGGATAGACTAAGCCAGGTAAAGCTCTAAATTGTAGCCAGTTACTATAATCCTTGCTGTAGATATCCGCTAATGGCTAGAGCTGCCAAAATCTATACTGAGCAGATTTTGATATAATCTCTCAATCAGGTGAAAATAGTTCCGGAAGGTTTGCGCAAGTCTTGAATTAGAGGCCGTTCACCAAGGGACATCGGAGTCAAGAAAAAAGTCCTGTGATGTGCATATGTAGTCCAGACTCGTAATGCACACACTACAAGTCGGCGTCAGAGCCTGTGGAATTGTAATCCTAAAATCATACTCAGTTTACACTAAAATTAATAATTGTCATTTGATACATGCTGAATACAGCGCGGTATGACCTCTCTGACTGAAGTTGTTTTCATCTGGACACGCACGCCGGAAATGCCCCATGTCCCTGTTATCTTGCGTCCGATAGCTGCGGCGGGATGAAGAGACTGTTTTATGGTAACGAACACTGTTATTTCTGTAATGTGCAAGTTGGAGGATTCTATTCGCAACGCGAAACGCGGTGAGCAGCGGAAAGAAATTTATGCCCAAAGAAATAACAAAAATATACCCAGCGACAACGCGGTTGCGGGAAAATCTATTTGCTGTCCACATCTTTAAGAGCATAAATGGAAAGTGCAAAACATTAACTTTTAGAGATTTTCTCAAAGTTTCAAGCCTGCCGCAGTCTGCAGCGCACTGAGGATACCATCTTGGACGTGGGTCTGTTGGAACAGGAGGAATGAGTTCTATTTTGTGGTAAATCCGCAGTGCCTCTTTGAGCCCGCGAGAAGCACCAAAATTGCACCAACAGTACAGGGGCAGCGCGTCTTGCAGCGTTCCGTTCGAGACCACATGTTTTCGTCCGATAACTTTCTTGCTAGCCATGAAATCCGACGAACCTGAATCGGACAAAACCGTTTCCATTGACCAGATACAACCACTTATTTCCCGTAAACTACCTCGCGTGGTTACGTCGATTCCCGGGAAAAAGTCGCAAAATGAAAGCGACAACGATGGCGTTGCTAAGGCCACGATCACTCATTCTGAGAGCGGCACGAAGGACAGGAAGAAAGGAAGAAAGCTGGTGTCTGAGCTCACTAAAATGGAGGTGAAGAGAAGCAAAGGAAAGGACAGAAAAAGGAAACTGGTTCGGGGTCCATCTGTGGACACTTCGCGAGCAAGAGGCAGTTGCGATGTGGTGCGACTCGCTGTAAGAGAGTTGGGCTGGCGCGAGGTTTGTTTCTGTTTACGTTTGCTTAAAGTAGATTGCACATGAAAAAGTCTTTTTTACCCTGATGAACTGTAGATCTATGCAGAAAAAAGAAAATTGACGGTTCAAAACGAATTTTAATACAAGGGGTATTTTATTTCGAATTAACCTTGGTAACAGTCGTTCTAATTTGGAACGTTCGATCAAGGATGAAACACTATTATGTGCATAAACTTGATCGCTGTCGCATTTGATTTCAAGTAATTACTTAACTTTTGTTATGTTGACAGATACACTGTAACCAAATGGAGAGGCCATCCAAATATGATCTTGTTATTGTGGAATATTTATATTCGAAAATTATATTTTGAACGGGCTGGGTGTTAATGTGAAGAAAATTGGTTAATCTTAAATTCTGAGCAGCGAGACCTTTAATTTTTAATCACGCAATCCAAAATAGTTTCGGCTGCTGGAAGCTTATCCTCACGTCAAATATAATGGTGAATCAAGCCAGGAAAATAAGTCTATATTATACAACAGAACGTGTACATTTTTTTGCAAAAAGTACAACTCTCACCGAGTAAATAATCATTTAGATGGTCTCGTCTCGTCTTGGGAACAAACGCACAGCATGCGGTCAGCTCTGCTCTTACAATCCAAAACATTTTAAATCTAAGTATTCTTTTATAGCTTTTATATTGTGTTGTTTTAAATAAATGTCTTTGAGCGATATAAGTCTATAGTGTAAAACACTGTAATGTTACTTCGATTGCGAGATAGCGATCGGGCTAGAGAGCTGGAGAGGATAAGTTGCATGCGCAATAAGAAAACAACTTTATTATTTCTCAATTATATCTTCTTTATGCGCATCTGTATAATTTTTTTTAAATTGAAGTGTCCCTTGGGTCGTCGGACTGGGTGTGACTTTTACTGGCTTGGCGGACACTTTGAGATGCCCGAATTTCCAGAAACTGGACAGCTTAGTAAATTTTTTGGTAAGATCTATTATTGAATGTCAATATTTAAGTGACTGTTTAAATTTGAACTATTTTTTTAAATTATATTAAAATGCGTATCACTAGTGTTTTGTAAGTCCCCTTTAAACTAGCCTACTATGCAAATGCCCTTTGGTCTTGCAATCTCTCCTCAATTCTATGTATGGCAGGCTATCTTAAGTTTATACTTCCTGTGTGCAAAATATTCTGACTATTTAATTCTTGAACTAGGCATTTACTGAGCTCAGTGAATGTAACAGCTGCCAAAGCAAACCACAACAGCTGAAAATATTAGAACTTTGTTATCATAATTAATTGTTGGAAATTTTTATTGAATATGTACCCAGATCTCACTTTGCATGACCTGGATCAGGATCGTCAATGGAGCTGATGAATATGGGACCAGAGTGGATTCATCAGTTCCATTGATGTTCTATGATCTGAGTGATCTTGGATCACTGATCCAGATCCAGATCAGCCCAAAGGAATGCACCTTTTACTGCAAGTTTGATGCTTGGCCATGGCAATTCTGGGTTCAAGAGGAATGTTTATTTTCCATAGGTATGTCAGAGGCTGCCCACAAAGTAGAACTAACAAGACACATCAACAGGCTACAATTCCTTTTTCCTCATGAATTTACCTTTTATCCCAAGACCTGGATATTACCAGAGGAATATGGAGAACTTACTGGGTACATGTCTAAAGCAAAGAAACCACCCACTCTCATTGTAAAGCCTGATGGAGGATCACAGGGAGATGGAATATTTTTGATGCAAAATGTTCATGATGTACATCTTAGTACTGCCCTTGTGAAACCATGTGTTGTCCAGGAATATATCGCAGAGCCATTTCTTCTAGAAAAGTTTAAATTTGATCTTCGGATTTATGTTATACTGAAGAGCTTAGAGCCTTTAGAAGTGTTCATCTGCCGTGAGGGTATGGCACGTTTTTGCACCGAACACTACCAGCTGCCCACATCTAAAAACATCTTCAAGACTTACATGCACTTGACAAACTATTCTCTCAACAAACATAGCGCAGGGTATGTGCAAAGTGATGCCGACGACAAGGGTAGCAAGCGCAAGTTAAGTGCCGTCTTCAAACAACTGGAGAAACAAGGGTGTAACATTCCACTTTTGTGGGCTGAAATAGACAAGGTTGCTTGCAAGACAATAATTGCACTGGTACCTGTTCTCAAACTTCAAAATCAGATTGCCAGTGCTGCATTGAAGCAAGATCTCAGATCGTTTCAAATCTTAGGTTTTGACATCCTGTTGGATAAGGACCTTAAACCTGTCCTACTTGAGGTGAACTCTGCTCCAAGTTTAAGGATTGACTATGAGGAAGAGGTTGCTCCTGGTAAAGTCGAGTACTTTGTAAGCACTACAGATCTGGATATCAAACTTCCAATTGTGAAAGATGCCTTGTCGCTTACATGGCAACACAAGAAAATGTGAGTACCATTTGTGGTTGGCATAAGATTAAATGCATCTATGTGAAATTCAGTGCAATTACATATGTAACTCAACATGGCTGAAATGCTGAATGACATCAGTCTATCAAGATCCATCTGGACTGAGAATTGTTTTTGACACTTCAGCCAACACAAAACTGTGGACTAGTACCTCAAGCTGAGAACATTGTTTCTGTGGATGAATCACAAACAGTTCCCACTTTTGCACTAATGGCTATACTTTTTCCCAATTTCCCTCTGGTTTAGCTTGGATTTTATACTTTAGTTGGGTCTCCAGGGTAAAAAAGAAATAATTAAGAAAGTTCATGCATGGGCCTCTGGAGTATGCAGTCTGGTACCAATTTGTGTGTACATTAAAGAAGGTAAACATTTTTTTCTCAGGGATAGTTTGCCAGATGTGTCAGGTTGCCTGTGTCAGATTTATCCTAAACTGGATTCCCAGTTAGATCACCTGAGAGTTGTGGAAAGGTGTCTTGCACTCTTCAAACACTTTGTAGGTGTCCGTGTGTCCAACAAGATGGGACCCACTTCTTTCAGATTGATGGCAAGGTACAGTACCATAAATTGTACTGCATGTATTAAACCATTACATTACCTTGTACTTACACTTACAAAATTGACAGTTATGAAAAGGAAAGGCCTATGAAACCTTTTTTAAGCCAAATTATTGTTCTGGTTTACGCACCATGCAATTAAGTCCAAGTCAGAATTACCGGTAAGTAACTAAATCCAGTCAGTACTGTTACTCATCCTGGATGGGATGGCAGTCTATCATGTTACCACAACCCCCTAGAGCTCTCCTCCCTCCCCTCCACCCTGCATTTTCAGCTCCCAGAACCTGTGTACATGCTGCTTTAGATGGAAAACTCACTGCGACAGTAATGTTGCTTAACTACAAATACATGTAGACTCAATAAACCAGGCCAGGAACCAACCCCGCACCTATTTGCACTAACCAGCAGCTCAGGTACTATAGTTCTCACATCTAACTAACCATTGGTAGATCTAACAGATATTCATCAGACATATAATTTTTCTTGCTTTAGGCGGTGCCACCTGACAGACTTTGGCTTCTCTCTGGCTGCATTTGATATCATGTTTATTAACATGAGTCGCCGCCATCCAGGCAGCGAGTCTGGTCGTGCATCTCTCAACTTCAATGGCTTCTGTGAATCACTCATTGCAGTAGGACATAAGAAATTTGCACTGACAATGCGCAAGGAGCCTGTGCAAATATTATTAAATGTTTTGAATCACTGTGAGCAACACTTAGGAAAAGCAGCAAATGCATCAACACGTAGAAGAATGGCTGAACCTCCCTCCAAGCTGAGCGATCAAAAACTGCTGAGTTGCTTCCACCTTCCTCTAGCTACAAGTGCTTTTAGTTTATAAATAACAAACACGAGAACATAATAATTATTATTGCAAGAAGCACCACTCGATCAGCTGGACTACCTTCAGTTCTACTATCACAACTAAATATTAAGCAGTTACAGAGAATGCATGCACTGATCAGGGCCTTGAATGGTAAATCTGATACTTTTCAAGATGGTAAGACTGAAATCTTTTCTGTGACCTCAGAGACTTTCATAGCCCTGAAAAAGAAATGGACCTTTTCGGCAATATGGCAGCCATTTTGAATTCTATTGTTTGAAATAACTACTACATGTATGTACGGGATGCTCATGCTCAAGGATAAATTAGTAAACTATGTATTTGCCCCCTAAGCATCCCATAATAGCTACTTAAAACTGTTACACTAGAATTCAAAATGGCCACTGTATCTCCGAAAAGGTCCATTGGGCAACTTTGATTGTGAACAAGATGATCCTTAGGCTTAACCCCTTAATTCTAGGGCAAAGTTTTAATGTGACTCGACCACCACCCTAAAGCAGAGGGTTGCACAAATTAAGAGTTCCAGTAAAGAGTTCTCTTGAACTCTCTCAACTGATGTTTTCATCAGGGTTTTGGAAACATTCACACTAAAATCTTAATGTCACATGTAAATGCAAAATGAATTCATATAATTGTACATGTAGCATGTAGATAAAATGATGTATTAAATAAGGAATAATTTATGATGAATAGCAATTTAAATGTACTTTATAATAATTATTGTAAAGTGGTATATTGCACATGTAAAATGTATTTCAAAGAAAATTAAAAATTGTAATTTATTACATTCTGCTAAGTAATAAATAGAAATATTGTTTCGAACTTAGGGAAAAAATGCAGACTCCAGAGATCATCGAAATTCCAGTTGTCAGTTCCCACTATCCATCATAACTCACATGGGAACTAATACGTAAGTTAATATGTTTTTGAGCCGAGGAAGGTAATCCAGACACTGATGGCCTTATTTCTGGCATTTATTTTTAGTGTTTTCAGCTGGATGTTTCACCAAAAAGTCAATAGTAAAGACCAAAGATGGGATCATTCAACTTCCAGGTGTCATCCACAACACAAAATCACCTGTGAACGTTGCCATTCTGTATGTAATCTCACTCTTATATAAGGGAGTTTTTTTTTTTTTATCTTGCCAACTCTTACTCTGACACAGACAGTCTGGAAAATACTGTATTCAATACAGAAAGACCCTATTGGCTTGCCACTGAATAAAGACTTGTAGTCATCTTAAGAATCAAGTAAAAAAAAATTATCTACTGTAGAATCAAGTTTTTACAAACTTTGTCATCAACTATTTTGAGTAAAGTAGTTAGCAAATCAGTTCACTGAATTCACACAAATTCAACTATAATTTCAATACTTAATATGTCTTTTATTGCCAGTTCCACCAGATCCTCTTTACAAGCTAGATTTGCATTTACATTTAACCCAGTCACATGGATACCTTACCACATGAACAATTAGTCTGGCCCCTGAATAGACTAGTGTACGAGTTAGGCCAATGTGTTTCTGAATGTTATTTACCTGTAAAAAATAACCTGAAAGTGTACATACATGTAATTCCTAAAACACCATAAGATTATCAAAAGCAGAAGTCCAATAAGCAAGGCATTTCATACCCACAAGGAAACCATTTGTAGTAGGTCAACTTGATTATAATAAATTTCCTTAACCTAAGCTCCTCGACCTTCAATAGCAAAGACATTCAAGTGCACTTTGGTGTTCTTTACTGTACTTTACTGAGTTTTGTTTACTTTCAAATCCAAATTTTCTTATTGCAATTGAATTCACTATTTAAATAAAACAATGGCTCTTTAAATTCACACTGAATACATTTTGGTTACACATGTACTGTACAGTGTGCAGTATTTCTGGTGTTGTACAAAATATCCTTATTTGCTAAAAAATAGTTTCCTAGATTCTTTTACTACATACCAAGAACCACAGTTATCACTGAACATTAGAAATTTCCCTGGTCTATTAGACAGTATCACTGCCTGTCAGAAGTAAAGCATTTGTTACATTTATTAATCGTAATTACCAGGGTTGAATTGTTGTAATTAACCTACACCTGTCATTAATTTGTGCTCATTTTCCTAGTTCATCTTTCCATTCCTTCAGCTTTTTTGCACCATTTTCTAATGTGCTGTCCTCCTGGAATTCAAAAATTCCAAAAAAAAATTTGTTGTTAAAAATTAATTTCAATTAATACTGATTCTTTTAGAAAATTAGAACTAGATTGCATGCACATGTACACACAATGCACAGTGAGGAAGACTTAGTAGCACCTTCCTGTCTTGTTTGGTTTTAGGTCAGAATTAGAGGTTTAATTAATACTTCTACATGTATCTTAACAACAACAACAACAACAACAACAACAATCTTTATTCACACTGTTCAGGTACAAAAGAAAGGTAAGACAAAAAAGAAACTATAGAAAACGTAATGATAGAGATTATATAACTATATGTTCAATTTGAGTCAGTGTGCAACAGCCAAAGTAGCAAAGCTTTCGAGTTGGCTGCTGCTTACTGTATTTACAAATAAAGAAAGGAAGGAATGAAGGAAACATAATAATTAAGACTAAACTAATTCACAAAGCAAGAAATGAAAACAGGAAGAAAATACCACGTTAAAGATTACTTTTAGAAAAGTCAAAAAACGATATTGGATATGATGACAAAATGAATTATAATTGGAAGTTCAAAACTATGACTGACAATTGAGGAGATGATTTTGATCTTAATCGCACTCTTCAGTATAGTTTTTACAACAAACTTGGAGAAAGAGAATGAATAGACCTTTGCATACAGGTAGCTGTACATGTATGGTTCACTCATTACATACTCCACATTTTCAGATTTGTTGCTTTTTGCCAAAATATCAGGGCCAGGTTGTTCAAAGCCAGATTAAGCTAACCCAGGATTAGCGAGAATTTTGATTTCAGTTTTGTAACTTTTCGATGAGGTTTTCTGTATATTATATATTGTTTGTCCTTCAGTTTTGAGCTTGCGTAATTTCAAAGTACACAAAACATAAGCAGTGAAAAACATTTTTACACAACAAAAATGAATACTTCGGTTAACTTTTAACCCTGGGTTAGCATTAACCGGCTTTCAAACAACCCAGCCCAGGTCTACATGTAACTAATCATGCGTGGATCTGAGTACACATTAATTTTAAAATGTTTAGTTCTTGCTCTGTTCACATGTGAAAAATAAGACATTAAGTTTGCCTGTAACACAAACAAATGCAGAGAAAAAAAGACGTGATTGGCATCCATATTCATTTAAGCACTTAAGAGGTATTAATTAAGCGTTACATGGCAATAAAGTTGAGACTCGTAATCTGTATGTATACTGACCTTGATAAAGCAAAACCTAATGTACTTGGCTCCAAAATGTTTATGTTGAGGTGAATAAAATGCAGATGGAGGAATAGCACAAATTCCCTAAGAAAAAAACATTGAAAAATCAGCTACATGTATTAAAGACAAACATTTAAGTCAAGGATGGTTGAATTTCATTGCCAGTTGCATATTAAACAGCTGAACAATTTCACTACTACATTGTACAGTAGTGTTTCACCATGTAACTGTACCGACCAGCTACAAATGGAATATATTTGCAACATCAAGACACATGGCCCATGACAATGCACCTTTAAGTTGTCTTTTCCTACCTTTTCTTTTGTTAACCATCGCACAAACTTGTAGTCATGGGGATCATCACTTTTGTCATATTCATCAAAATTCACATCTACAAAGTGCAAGCTGTATGTTAATCATTGAAGAGATTGAGATCAAGCTGTTCAAACAAAATTTAAGTTTATTTTCATGACTCATCAATATCACCTCACTATAATCACTATAATTTAGTCAGGTAATAATAGTTTTGCTGTCAAACCCCCTCCCCCTAACTGGTCACACCACCTTAAATATGCAACTAAGCTTTGATGCTACAAAAGCACAAACATATATGTAAATACCATCTAATATTATTGATTCTGCATTAAATTACAAAAAAACCTAAATGGTTATTAACCTATATCTGATGTGTCAGCCATCATAAAATAGCCTCCTTGAGGAATAATGGGCTTGAAGCCAACATCAGTTAGAAGCTTGGCCATTATGTCACGTTTTTTCTCCAACATCAGGCTAAGTTCTTGGAAATATGACTTTTCTGTTCCAATTAATGGAATTTCATGTTCAAAGGCTTGAGCAAGGGCTTCCTTGAAACATAAATTAAAAGAATTAATATAACCAATTATTTACTAGTTTAAAAAGTGGAATCAGTAGCCGTTGTGAAACTTAAGCCAGACAAATCAGTAAGCTTGAATGGGATTCAAACCCATACAAACTTTATTTCAAGAGGGCTATGCTAAATAGTGCATACCACTGAGAAACTTGTGGCCCTCAATATCACAGCAGTGCTTTACCAACTGTTACTGAGGAGCCTACTAAGTCTATAATTCAAATAGAGATTGAGTTGGAGCAGTGCAAGAGAGCGAGAATATGCACATGTGCTTGGACCCTATTATTACACTGCACTTGAGCATCTGCTATGCAGGTTACCAAATGAGAAACCAACTGACCTACCAACTTCTATTTAGCAACTGTGATCAAATATTACTTCCATTAAAGGAACAGCTCTGCAGAAAAGTACAGAGTTGATCCATGGTTTCAACTTGAAATTGAGTTTAATTAACAATTCACATGTTTTCCCTTCAAGGCACCACACAGTTTTATAAATAAGCTACCATTGATGGTTGATGTACAGTGTATAGTTTTAATCCAGAGCTTTTTACAAAGTACAGGACAATGTGCTTTGCATCCCTCACTAACCACTCGACTAGACAACTATTCTGTACCTGTGTTGGGGAGGCAGGATGTAAGTGTTACCTGTGTTGGGGTAGGTAGGGTGTAAGTCACTTGTGACTGCACTGTCTGGAGATTTTTTATTAATTCTTTAGGACCTATGGACCAGCCAAGCTGAAACAAAGAAAAGAAGAATTGAAAATATTTGGCAAATAATTTTTCTGCTTAATGCGAAATTAGTACAACAGTAAATTGACAAGAATAGCACATCATTCAGTAACTTACCTTCCAGCCTGTGATGCTAAATGTTTTCCCTGCACTACCAATTGTTATTGTCCTTTCCCACATGCCAGGTAAAGTTGCTATCAAAAAATGGTACAAAATGATGCTATTATCAAGTTCATACAGTGTAGTTACAGCTGAACCTCTCTGATATGTCAAACTTCCCACTATTTCTAAAACTGATAAATCATTTCCATCCGTGCTTGGTTATCTTGAACCTTTGCCATCTCAAAAAATTATGTCAAATTTTTTTATTTCTTCTAAAGGTTCGACCAAGACAGGTTACTGTGGTGTAATTAGACATAACAAATAAGAACCACATCCCCAAATTGTATTTAAAAACTCACCGATCCTGATGTGGTGCTCTCCACCATAAACAAGCCACTCATAAACTTCATCACTGATACAGATCACATTGTATTTCTTGCACAGATCAGCAATCAACTGCAGCTCATCCATACTAAATACCTTTAAGACAGACAGTTTCAGCAAATCATTAACTATTTATAGATACAAGGGATGTATTTTTATAATGCCTTAGAAACATCAAAAATTTGAGCTTTTTGAGCTAGTATACATGTGGTAACTTAGTCTTTCTAGCCCATCTGGCTCATAGCTTTTGACACCCCACTTTGAGTTCTGTAGTATGAAGCAACTATGGGTATTGCTACACCTGTACTCTATCTGGACGGAATGCTGGTCCTTCACAGCTAGGTTATGCCGCAGCATTCTGTCAGGTTGTCCCAACAATTCACTGCTACCCATTTCTGCTTAGCTGGGTTGAGACAGGCACTGTGAGAATATTATTAAAGCATGCTACCAAAGAACATATCACAATGACCTTGGCCAAGGTTTGAAACCTGCACCATTCTAGCTATCTAGAGCCTGAGTATGTCTAACCATTAGACAACTGTGCCTCACAAATTTCAAACTTAATCAGATTTTATCTTTACCTTGCCGACAGGATTATGAGGAGTGTTGATTACTATGGCTCTGGTCTTTTCACTAAATGTTGACTCCAGCTCCTCCTTGTCCAAGACCCAGTCCTTTGTTGAGGTAGCATTTTCTTTCTGTCAACAATGGCATTATGTAGCTATTAAAAAATATATTTGAACCTGAACTGATGACTAAATTCTAAAAGAAAGAGTCGCAATTTACATGTATATGTACTTACAGGTCTTAGAGGGACAAACTTGGGAATTCCACCAGCAACTGATATTTGGGGAAAATAGCAATCAAAATATGGTTCAATAAGGATGACCTGTGAATTGATCACCAATATTATCATTTAAAGAACTAGGAAATTAATTGTGAGACTGCAAGGCAAAGTAATAAAGATTGGTGTGGGTCTGAAAAGGCTGATAATTATAAGCTAACTACAAAAAATCCTGGAAGAAAGTTGCAGTCTCAGAAAAATGACTCATTGTACACATTTGGATAGTACATGTAAATATAGAATTAACAATGTGGCAAGTACATGCACCATAAAGTGGGCTTGTATATCAAAAACATCAGACAATATTGAAAACATCTGCTATCTAGGTCTACTTCTTGGAAACATTTATGCAACCTAAAAGCCCTCAGTCTTGAAAGTAATATATAGATTTAGGCCAGCCTAAAAGCGTAGCTCCTGGGCCGGGTTGTTCAGAGCCCGATTAAGCTAATCCAGGAAAAGGTAGAGTTTTGATTTGAGTTTTGTAACTTTGCGGTGAGGTTTTCTGTATATTTTTTGGCCTTCTGTTTTGAGTTTTAATAATCACCATATACACAAAACAAAGCAGCAAACAACATTTGTACAGAAGAAAAAGTTATAATTCGCTTAACTTTTAATCCTGGGTTAGCATTAACCGGCTTCCGAACAATCCTGCCCTGTTTTCAACAAATTAACATGACATGAGCCCGCGATCCAACCGAAAACCAGCAATTGATCAGCGGTCAGCTTAAAAAAACACGTGACCTCGATGAGCTGTAAACTTGAGCCTGCCATATGGTCATGTAATACTGGACAGCGGATACCTTGTTATGATAGGTGTCAATTGATCATAACATGGATGTCCAATATCAAAGAAGTAGACGGTAAACCAAGGCTGAATGTCTCTGTCACCCTATTATTTGGAGTATGGCCGCCATGTTGCGCGACTCCGTCGTCGTCGTCGTTGCCGTCGTGCATACGCGCCCGCGAGCAATACCGCTAGCCATGATAACCATGAGAAAATCAACTCATGGGTTTCCGCTTCTTTCTTATATCAGTATGGGGCTCCGCTTGGCGGCCCTTTGGGCTGCCGGGGCTCCGCTATTACTAATATTAATAACAAAAACAGCATCATCCCTCATTTCCACCGCCCATACCCCTCCTCCCCCCCTCTTCACAGTCCAATCATCTCCCACCTAAAAAAGAAACCACCTTGACACTCGGGCCCTGCATATATGGTACTATAATGTAAACAATATTATCAACAAAAAAAGCATCAGTGTTTAAAATTCAACTTTTCTTAAAGCTTACAGTACCTCATCCCCTGGATCAATCAAGCCTTGAAATGAACAATAAAGAGATTCATAAGCTCCTCCTGTTACTAAAATCTGCAAGTTAAATAAAGATTATAGTAAATTAACAAGTTTCATCATGGTATTACATACTTTTCAAATTCATAACTTGGGGCTAAAATGGATAAGTCTCCCAGTCCCTATCAATGGTAATCTATCTTTGTCTCATTGAAACTACTGTCTATTTTTTAGAGAACTAGTTTATTGAAGCACTGTGGTATGCAATGTTGAAAATAATGAACGGTGGATACCACATCTTTAAGTGTCTTTACATTCTTAGGTAGTCTACAAGACTGCCATTTTACACAACTTCGATTTCCTCTTTTTGCGCCATCTAGCATATCACTAACCTCAGATAATGGATCAATTTCTCTCTTCATCAACATGGTGTAGAGTTTTCCAAGTGCAGTAATTAATCTTGGATGACCCTGTTGATAGGTGAAGTTACAACTAAATATTTTTATATTAAACTTATGGAACAACATGTACATGTTTACAAGGCCCTCATCTGATTTTACCGTCACCTCAAGTTCATTGAATTTTCAATATTAAGAAAAACTAGACCATTCATTTTTATCAACACAGCACTTCTAGCTCATAAATATAAACAAACTATTAAATAGATATTACGTTTCTTTTCTGCAGTACTGGACTAAGCCACTCTACTAACGGACGGGTATATCTAATAGCTTGAATGAGCACCAAAATTAAAGAAATTAAGAAGTTCTATTTTCCCTCCTGCAAATTCAAAGCTCAACACTACTGGTGTAGTTTAAACCATTATTGAAGCAGGGATAGAGTGGCAAGGAGAGTGCTTGCCTCCCACCAATGTAGCTCAGGTGTGAATCCGAGATCAGATGTTTGTTGCTTTTTGGTGAGAATTTTTCTCCAGGTTCTACAGATTTCCTTCTCAAATAAGATCATTCTATCTACATGTAAATTCCAATTTGATGGTAATCCAAGGACCTAACAGGTTTTTTCAGTTGCAAGACTATCTGAGCTACCTTTGATTTGAAACAAAGTTTATTGAATCCTACATATACAATCGCTCGTTTAATACTGCCATTCTAAGATTTATTGATTGTTCCACTCACCTGACTTCTTGTGTATTGATCAACAGCAGCATCAGTACTGGCCACCACCTTCCCAAGAGCCTCTTTTACAAAGTGAGGGGTATGAATATCTGGAAATCCCTAGAAAGACAGCAAGTACATGTGGGTCTTCTTTATACCAGGGGCCAGTTGCCCAAAGGGTAGATAACTCTAAATATGCTAGACAAATCACTATCCAGTGGAAAAGTATTGGCAAACAAACTACTGTACAATATCACTATCCACTGTACAGTGTTATTCATCCTTTGAACAACCAGATGTTTAAGTACTACATTGTACAATTAAGAAATTCGTATTTTTGCAGTGGAAATTAACAGACATGTATAAACTGAAATAATTATTCTGGCAGGTATATCATTATCTCACCTGGCCTAAATTCACTGCTTTGTAGTTTCTCGCTAAAGCAGAAAACTCGACCCTACAAGAACCAAAAACAATGTCTTATTATTGCAGCATGCTTGGCAAAGTGGAGCCCAATGTAGTCCATTATCATAGAGTGATTTACAAAATCTGTGATCCAAGTTCACTCAGATCATGGAACATCAAAGGAACAGATGAATCCACTCTCGTTGCAACTGCGACCAGAGTGGATTCATCCATTCTTCTGATGCACCACTATCTCAGTGAACTTGAATCACTGATCCTGATCCTGATCATGCACCCTTAATAAACAAAGGATATACCATGAACTGGAGAGAACAAGAGAGACTAGAGAGACATGAAAAAGCTTACTGAGTCAAGTGAAAATGTGAATAATAGTAATAATAATAATAATAATAATAATAATAATAATAATAATAATAATAATAATAATAAATAGATATAATTAGCATACCATACATTCTTGTCATGTCCAATAATTCTATCTGCTGGTTTATATAAGTCTTTGGAACTCATTTTTCTCTACAAGAAGAGCAGATTGTCATTTACTTCAAAGTCTGTTTACTATACACCTTGACCAATTCATTAATGACAAGTACAGTTTTTACATTCACCAGTAAGCCCTAACATGCTTTCTGGCTGCCTTAACTCTTTAACTGAGGTAAATCTTTTGAGGGACCTGATATATATTTTAGAGCTTCGACCGATATTCACCAGTTCTCCCACAATTTTTCAGTTGCCCACATCATTCTTTAGACTCACCCTTATTACTGAGTTTCTTCAACATCTAAAGGGACTGAAAAAAGTGACTGAAAAACCTATAGAACCTAAGACCTCCAAGAAAAGTTTTCGTCATGTAGTGTTTAAGATTTCTGCATTGTTTCAGTTTGTGAACAAGTAAAGTTTGGAAAAAAATTACAAGTACTAATGGTACCACGATTTAAACTTTTAAAGTGTAGGATCAGCTTTTTATGTCGATTGATAAACAGCTTATGTTGTTGTTTATGCACAGATGATGTATTGAGAAAAATGATCATGTCAGGCCACGATTTGGGAAAATTAAATAAGCGCTCCC